CCTAAAAAGACATTCTTAAATTCTCAAAATGTAATTTAAGGTTGATAACGCCTTTCATTACAGGTCATTATGGTCTGAAATATCTCATGCATGAACTACAATTATCTGATAACTCGGAATGCAGATTATGCCCGAAGATGAGGAAATGACCATGCACATTCTTTGGGACTGTTCAGCTTTAATAACGCACAGAAGAAACCTGTTTCATAAAGAATTTCTGTCACCAGAACAGATTAAGAACTCTTCTCTAGATTTAGTTCTAGACTTTATTCACAAAGCTTTAAGGGGCTTTGTTTAATCAATAGTGAAACTGGTACAATAGGGCTCTTCTGGCCGCAGTACCGGCTGTTGGGCAATTTTCACGTCTACTCTTTTATTATTATTATTATTTGAATTTTGCATCTCAGCGGGTGTTATTGCTGGGATTCACATAATTCCGGATGACAAGCATCAAGGAATTTATGCTCTGTTGAAGTGTAGTCCATGTTCTACACCTATAAAATTGTGTTGCTCCATCTAAAGAATGTTGATCGTTTCCCTCACCATTGCACATGTATGCAATAAGACGTATTTCTGCATAGTATTTATTAGAAGTTTAGAGAGTTCAAGTATATCCATAGAGTGTGTGAGAGTTTTGGGTACTATACCAGTGGCTGATAGTATTATTGGTACAACACCCACTCGCTGAAGCCTCCAAATTTCTTTGATTTCTCTAGCCAGTGGTATGTAGTTGCTCATCTTTTCTGCATACTGCTGCTCACTGTTACCATTATGCGGAATAGCAACATCAATCAGGTATGCTAAACCATTCCTTCTATCAACCAATAGGATATCAGGCTTATTATGTGCTATTAGTCGATCTGTGTAAACTTGTCGACTAATAGTACACACGAAAACTGGCGTTTTCTAATACCGCAGTGGGTTTATATTGGTAAATTGAACAAGTTTTAGAGATTAATCCATGTTGGAATGCAAGACTTTGGTGGATTACCTTACATACTGCATTGTGCCTGTTTAGAAATTCCCTTGGTGCCATTACAGAACAGCTGGAGATATTGTGATCCAATGTTTCTATGACTGAACCACATTTTCGACACAAGTCATCCTCAACTCGCTCTTTAAGAATATGTTTGCGATAATTACGAGTAGGGACCACGCCATCCTGTATCGCGCACACAAATCCTTCAGTTTCACTAAATAGATCCCCTACACAGAGCGATTTGTTGGACAAATGCAAATCAATAAATGGCTGCCAAAGGTAATTCACATGTTTTCCGTGAAGAGCCTTAGATTTCCATTCATCAATTTTTTGCTGGTCAGGCACTACCGAATGTAAAGGACAGAATACTCTGTTCTTTATATCAAGTGGACTCAATCTATTATCTGCACCACAGATAGCCTTATGCAAAGGAGAATTGAGCTCTTTGGCAATAAAATAAGTGCGTAGTGAGTCGACTTGTTCGTAATATAGTCTTGTTATATCGAGCACTCCTCTACCACCAATACTTCTCGATAGACATATCTTTTCCACAGCAGATTTTGGATGACGCATGCGAAAGTCGCACATTAAAGTTCTGATTTTGCGTTGGATTGCTTCCAATTCCGTGTCCGACCACTTTAATACACCAAACGAGTACAGCAGGAATGGTATGGCATATGTATTAATTGCACTTACTTTCTTTTTCCGGACAGTAAAGATTTTAGTACCAATTTCACTTGTTGTGTCAACCTGGTTTTCACCTCGTGTCTTCTAATGCCCTCCATGGCACGGTGGCAAGCCCGGAATTCTCGCCGGTATTGGGGTTGGGTCTTGGCATCAGTAATCCACACTGACATCAACAAAAAAGTTCTCGTGCCATGTATTTTGTTATATTTACGTGCTACCATTAAGGCAGTCTGCAGCGAACTGGACTTTGTTTAAAATGCATAAAACTACAAAATATAATGTAATAGAGAGCGAGAGAAATTTGTTGCTTGTTGCGTGGTGATTAGCTAGTGAGGTTGATTTTGCAGTGGCGTTTGATTTGGTGTATGTAATTGGTGAATTCAAATACATAACATATTTGTATAAACAAAATTTAGTTAAATCTAAACTGCTAATCGCGTCGGTCATATTTACTTCCTAGTCCATTTTGGTCTTAGTTATTGGTCGAATGCCAGAGCACACTTCACCCGTCCGCACCACCCCTTTAGCAACTTACTTTTTAAACATGGTAAACATAACAACAATTACAATATTCTTTTATTAGGTGCATTTTATTTTATTTCAACTAGTCTTTAATTAGATAAAAAAAAAATTATAATTATTATTTCATAATCTAACAGTTTATATATAAACAATAGCAACTTTATAAATTTAAGTATGATAGTAATGATATCAAGTATGATAAAAAAAGTTTTATACTAAAAAAATAAATATATATATACCTATACTTAAATTAAACTATACAAATAAATGTTTATTTATTTATATTTATTTTGTGTTTTTTGTTTTTTTTTTGTTTTTTTTTATATATAAAAAATACAAAAAAAAATCGAAATAATAAAAAAAACAAGAAGAACAGAAAAAGTATGTATGAAGTAAAAAAAATTTTTGGCTAGTTAGGCACTTACCACAACTGCCCAAATGACGTCACTCGCTGTCGCTGTACCTAGACAAAAATTTACAAAAAAAAAAAACAAAAGAAATGCTACTTTTTTTTCTTTCTTCTTAGTTTCTCTAACCTTGAGTGATATTAATTTCAAACTTATGTTACTCATATTTTTATATAACATATATTATTATTATTATAGCTTCTCATTTTTAATTAACAATATAATTTACAAATAGCAATATGATTATATATAATTTAATTATTTTTTTCTATTTCTTCTAAATATTCCTATATACCTAGTTAACTAATTTAACATTTCAAATTTCTGTAACAAAAAAATCGTTATTAAATAATCATATAACTAAGTACCATATGAGAATAACAAAGATCTTTATCGGTATTACATACATTTGGGTCTCCAATTCTGCACTTGCAGTCACAGTAATGTTGCAAGTGGTATTGGCGTGTACGGTGAAAACTCCGCTACTGTCACCGCAATGTCTATCGCCTTGCAGCTACTGCTGTTTATCTTGATATTGCTTCGCCGTTGTATGTCGCCAATAAATTTTGACTTCTATATAAGTCACTTCTCACAATCCTTTTATGTTTTAGTTCACAAATTTTCTCACGAATTAATTGTTTTATTTACTATTCTGAGTTCTTTTCATACTTTCAAAAAAAATTATTGTTTTAGGCTATAGTTTAACTTCTGCTTTAATTTAATTAAAGATGGTTTGTTTTTCACGAAATAATGATTTTAAGATATACTCTAACTTCACTTTTAATTTAAATAAAAAATTATTTTTAGCTAGCACTTTAATTTTTTTTTCAATTTAGGTTTTCAGGAACTTGTTGTTCCAGTTAATATTTTTGGCTGTCGTTTTAATTTAAATCCAACAGTTCTTCATAAATTTATTATTTCAATTAATACGTTTCCTTTATTTTTAATTTTTTTTGTTTTTTTAAATCTTTTATTTTTAATTTAAATAAAAGTAACCTTTCACAATTTAATGGTTTCAGGTAACAATTTAAATTATTTTAACTAGAACTTTAATTTTTCTTTCAATTTAGGTTTTCAGGAACTTGTTGTTCCAGTTAATATTTTTGGCTGTCGTTTTAATTTAAATCCAACAGTTCTTCGTAAATTTATTATTTCAATTAATACATTTCCTTTATTTTTAATTTTTTTGTTTTTTTAAATCTTTTATTTTTAATTTAAATAAAAGTAACCTTTCACAATTTAATAGTTTCAGGTAACATTATAACTTAATTTTTAGTAATCATTTTCAGTTCAGCTTAGAAAAGAAACGTCATCACTTCGCAAAAAACTATCAAAAAAAAGCCTCCTCAACCGTGCACTACCATTTTTATATTCTATTTGTTTTCGTCATCATCCCGTTGATTCCCAAATCCCGCACAATTTTCGAGGTCGTTTTTTGAACCCCATGTTAATACGGTTTTTTTTTTCTTTCCATTCCGTCCTTTGTACATTCCGCAGATCCCACCTGCATTACCCACTTTTTCTTCATAACTTATTTTACTTACATTGTGCATTGCTCTGGCAGCATTGATCACTGCAACTCCTAAAGCTTTCGCAGTCACTTTGATCAAAACAAACCAAAACAAAAAAATGTACCAAAGCTTTTACACATTTCTTTATTTTGACTGTGCGAGCAATGCACATTGCTAATTTTTAGTGAGTGAGATAACAAGCAAACAAAGTAATTATATATATATAAAAAAAATTATATTCTAATATAAAAAAATTATTCGCACAGCAGTAAATAAAACAATGGGATCTGGAGCGGATTCAAATGGTGAAGTGCACGCTCACCTAATAAAAGAAAAAACAACCAACGGTACGGACGTTGGCCGTACTTATGGGCGTCGCGGGTAAACCGAGGCAATGTCTGTAATATTTCTTTTATTTTTATTGTATTACCATTTTATTTCCACACAGGCCTACATAACAGGCTCAACGGTGTCGATGTTGCCTGCAATATGGAGCACCATTGTAAAAACATCAAAGGTAGATTGTCAGCTTCCTTACTTTATTTTGTTTGTGTTTCTGGGCCTAACGTGTGGCTTCGACCCATACCCTGAGTTACAGAGTCTCACCCTTTTACGACTGATCTAGCCAGGCATTTAATTGTCATGATACGATTTTTACTCCTTACTGACAAAAGATGTCCTTCGCGTGGTATATCCCGATGCTAACCCCATTCATGTTTCCTAACTCATATAGCGAAGAACCTATTGCCTTTAAAATCATGCACTTCACGTTTTTCTTCCCTAACTTCGCGTTATAGCCATCGGCTTGTTTACTTTGTCTGAAGTTGCGTCTATATACTACTTGCCCCGCTCTAAACTGAATTTCCTTTTTTCGTTGATTATACACTCTTCCAGTCAGTCAGTCAGTTTCTCTCGCATCAATAGTTGTTTGTCTGTCGCTTCTAATATTTCAAATTCGGATTGTTGTGTGGAGCTCAACTTCCTCATTATCTCATACGATGCGCCATGCTGAATCATATGTGACCCAAACACTGCCATATATGGTTCCATACCTATCGAGCTGTGTTTCACACTTCTGAGTACAAATGCTGCCTCACTTACATACTGATCCCAATTACGTTGGTTTTCTTGTATATAAGAATGAACGAACTGAAGTACTGACTGATTTACTCGTTCAGCAGCATTGGCTTGAGGAGAATACAATCCAGTTCGAATGTGTTTCACTCCATATTTTTGCAAGAATGAATTAAAGGCTTCTGAAATAAATTGTTTCCCGTTATCGGAATGCATGCATTCTGGTACACCAAATGTATAAGGTTCCACGAAATCCACATGCAGACTTTGGAATGGTTTTTCGGTTATGGTTTGCATTCCCATGAGTGGTTTTATCATTCTATTTGACACCTTAGAAGTATTGCAAATCTCGCATTCTTTTATCAGTGTTTGAACGTCACCAACCATTCCTAGCCAGAAATATTTTACCTTTAATTTTGCTAAGGTCTTTTGCACCCCTCCGTGTCTAGATGATGGTGATACGTGTACTCGTTCTTCTAATGACCATCGCAATTCAGATGGAACCCATAATTTCCAAGTACTATCCTCTTGTAGTGCGTCGCCACTTCGAAAATCGGATACACGTAACCCTTTACGGTACATAGGTCAGGTAAACGTTGGTGTTCCTTGGTCACTAATTCGATAAGTGCTTTATATTCATCAGTTACAAAGAAAGGTGACTGCAAATCAACATCTGGATTGCAAGTGTCTTGTGTTATCTCGTCAACAAACATCCTTGATAGTGTATCAGGTACAATGTTCTGATTACCTTTTCTATGTTCTATGTTGAAGTCAAATGCCTGTAATTTCAAGCTCCATCTCGCTAGTTTACCGGGAAAATCACGCTGGTTCATCAACCATTTGAGACTCGCATGGTCCGTTATGATTGTGAATGGCAGGCCCTCTATATACGCTCTAAACTTCTTTACAATAAGTACAGCTGCAAGACACTCTTGTTCGGTCACACTGTAATTCTTTTGTGCTTTATTCAACTTGGAAGACATATAGGCTATAGGCCGTTCATTTCCAGCTTGATCTATTTGAAACAGGACACCCCCTACGCCATCTGCAGAAGCATCGCATTGGATGTAAAAATGTTGATTAAAATCGGGATACGTCAGTACTGGTGCGGTAATGAGGCTAGTTTTTAACTTGTCAAAAGCGACTTTGGCCTGATCAGTTAAAGTGAATTTCTTTAAAATACCTTTGCTGAGACAGTCATGCAGCAATCGTCGCGTAATCTTGTATAAAGCGTCTGCACCATCCTGTCATGTCCAGAAATCGTTGAAGTTGTTTTGCTGTTCTGGGCTCTGGAAACATGTTCATGGCCTCAACCTTCACAGGATCCGTTTTAATAATGCCGTTGCCCACAATATATCCCAGATAGTTTACTTCTATATGACAGAACTTACTTTTCTGTACATTTATTGTCAAGTTAGCTTTACTTAGACAATCAGCAACTTTCTTTAATAACATCATATGAGTTTCGAAATCACTTGAGCATACCAATAGGTCATCAAGATAAACGAATACACGTTCACGTAGAGCTGCTGGAATAACCTTGTCCATCAGACGACACATTCTCTGAGCGGCATTACACAGCCCGAATGGCATAACCGTAAACTGGTACAGTGGCCTACCTGGTACCGTAAACGCTGTCTTCTCTCTTGATTACCTCTCCAACGGAATTTGCCAAAAGGCATCCTTGAGATCTATCGCCGAAATATACTTGGTGTCCTGCAACCTACTTAGGATACCTTCAATGTGGGGCAAAGGATAGGCGTCCTTGATTGTGCGATCGTTGACCTTACGTGCATCTAAACACAACCTATGTTTATTTTCCTTCACCACTAAGGTTACAGGTGAACTCCAGCTACTATTGCTTTCTTCAATAACTCCTAGACTCAACATTCGATCTAATTCATCATACATAAGCTTTTGAATAGCAGGCGAAATCGGGTAGTGTCGTTGCTTCACCGGTAGCTGTTCATTCGTTACCTCTATCTTATGACTTTCGACACTGGTACTTCCTAAGCCTAATTCACTAAAAGAAGGAAATTCCTTAATAACTTGCTCTAATTTCGTTTGCTGGGTAGTATTCAATGGGTGTTGTTTGGTTAATTTTAAATCAGCAGAACAAGGTGTCAATTCGCCTATGTTGCCTAACGTTTCAGCTTTTCGGATTCGCTTGGTAATCAAGGGGATCTCAAATGTCTTCCAGAAGTCGATTCCAAAGTAGAATGGTTGCTGTAGTGTGGGTACTACTAAAAAATCCATAATTTCAGTTTGGCCTTCCCAAAGGACTGGTAGTGATACTACTCCAATCACAGGTACCTCTCCCCTACTGGCAGTTTTTATGGCTTTACCTGTTATTTTCACTAGCTTACTTGGTTGCTTTCGTAGAAACTCTAACGCTCCCTTTCGTATACAGTTGGCCATTGCTCCTGAGTCTTATAAGGCCATCACTTCTTCCTGATTAACCTTAGTTTTGACATAAATTCTATTATCTCCATCTAATGTAACTATTGTACCTACAATTTTACTAAGACTTGTCTTAACCAAACGCCTTTTCTGCCTAAGTTTTAACATTTTTCTAAATTTCCTATTCCTTTTACATTGGTTTGATACGTCCACATTAAAAATTCTTTCTCGGTTCTCTTCACATTCCAGATTGTGTTGATGTAGTGGTATAACTACCCTTGTTCTTTCGTTACTGCTATAGTGCTCACTGTGATGTTCACCTCTTTTCCCTACTTGTATCTGTACCCCGGCTTCGGCTTCTGTGGACATCGATTCCCGGGCGTCTCGGGTATCATGAAAATATGACGTACACACGGTTTTTTGGTCAGAACCTTGCTTAACTGTATAAAAGTCTACGGGCATACCGCACGAATAGCGCAAATTTAAGTGGAAAGGTGATGGACAAAGAGTACCTCCATCTTGCCTACTTTTTTCCACATCGTTATTACCATCCTTCTCTACCCCACTTCTATACCGGTTCAATCTCTCCGGTTCCGGATCAGTTCGGAATTTTGACATATCCATGCCTTTCTCACGATGTTCCAAATCT